TATTTTTTTGTAGAGACGAGCTTTCACTATGCTGCCCCAGCTGGTCTTGAACTTCTGGGTTCAAGCGATCCTCCAGCCTCACCCTCCCAAAGTGCTGGGATTTAGGCATGAGCCACCATGCTGGGCTAGAAATTGGTAATTTTAAAGGCAAGAATGTAAGTTATAATTGGAAATGGATGAATAGGGAGATATGCAGTTCATATGGTTTGTTTGTTTTTTTTTGAGCCGGAGTCTCATTCTGTCGCCCAGACTGGAGTGCAGTGGCCACTCCCGGCCACTGCAGCCTTGACCTGCTGGGCTCCTGTGATCCTTCCGCCTCAGCCTTACAAGTAGCTGGAACTACAGGCAAGCGCTACCACACCCGGCTAATTTTTTTTATTTATTGTAGAGATGAGGTCTCACCAAGTTGCCCGGGCGGGTCTCGAACCCGCGGGCTCAGGCAATCCACTCACCTCAGCCTCCCAAGGCGCGGGATTACAGCCTGAGCCACCGAGCCCGGCTATATGGTATTTTTTTAAAGCAATACAAGGTGTTTGCTTTATAAGTACACACTGTGCCACACTTTTCTGTATGTACATTTTAGTATAAATTTTTGAAGCTCAAAATTAAGAAATTAGGCTGAGATCAATAAGGAAGTGCAAATTTCTCAGAATACATTAAAATGGCAATGGTTAATATTAAACAGGTATTCTTGATTTGGAAAAAGTATCTTAAAATCTAGATATAGATTTTCTATAACAAAACATGAAAAATAATCTGTATATCAAACCAACAGTCACAGTCAGGTGTGATGGCTCACACCTGTAATCCCAGCACTTTGGGAGGTGGAGACAAGAGGATTGCCTGAGCCCAGGGGTTTGTGACCAGCCTGGACAATTTGATGAATCCTCGTGTCTACGATAAATCAAAAAAATTAACCAGGTGTAGTAGCGCACACTCGTGGTTCCAGCTACTTAGAAGGCTGAAGCAGAAGGATCACCTGAGCCCAGCAGGTTGAGGTTGTGGTGGTTGTGAGCGTGCCACTGCACTCTCCAGACTGGGAGACAGAATGAGACTCTGACAAAAAAAACCTAACAGTCGGCCATTGCCTTACTAGACTCTGGTGTGGCCATGTGCTCTTTGAGCTATGACTTTTGCCATGCTTCCTGACTTTGGCCCCCTTCCCTGTCTTGGGGAGGTGAATTTCCTCTTTCTTTCTCACTCTCTCTCTATTTTACCTTTTAAATAAACTATATTTTCTACTCTTAAAAAAAAATTAACAGTCACTATCACATCTAATGAGGAAACACTTAATGCTTTCTTCTTTATGTTAGTAATAAAATAAAGCTTCTTGCTATCCAGCAAATTATTTAACATTGTTCTGAAAGTTCTAGAAACTCTTTATTTTCCTTCCTCAATTTCTCCCTCCCCCAGGAGGAGATAATGGACCCTCATCCACGTAGCATTCCAAGCCAATAAGTGAAAAATTTTTAATTCTGCTCTTTCATTATCCCCCTATTTCTAATATATTACATATCTTGTTGGATCTAAGACCAATATATTTCCTGAATATGTCCATTTATGTCCATTTCCAATGCCACTACCTTAGTCTAAGCAATTGTTGTCTTTTTTGTCTGGATTATTGCAAGAAACTCACACCTTTGACTCTTGACCACATACAATCCATTCTGCACTCAGCCCTCATGGCAATCTTTCTAAAACATAAAACAGTGTGATTATTAGGTCAGTTGGCTAGTTCAGTTGGTTACACCATGGTGCTAATAAAATGTAAACAGGTCATGTTACACTTCTGCATGGGTCCATGTCCTCTGCATGCCAAGTAAAGATGGTCTTTCACATGCTAAAGTACAGACAGCATGTGTTGACACTTTCGAAGAATATTCCACATTTCTGCTCCAACAGGTACAAAACTTTTCCCAGGTTTCAAAGTTTTCAACATTTAAGGAGCCGCTGATTTTAATTCCACATGTTGGTAGCATGTATAAGATGTTCTTTTATATATATATAAGATGTTCTATAAATACTTTTGCTCCAAATCTTCAAACTCCAGCTATACCTGGGTCGAATACCTATTTTCCTCCCAAAATTGGCAATGCTCCTCCACCTCCAGGGGATTGCTTGCCTTTTTTTTTTGGCCACTATTTAGTAAATACCTCCCCTCCCTTTGTCCCCTGCTGGACAGAAATAGCTACTACAGTGCCATATAGACATCCTGATTTTCCATTTCTCAGACAGTACTGCTTTGTGTGTGTCTTTGGATTTCATGGCGTTTTCTATTTGTAAAATATCTAAACTTTTTCATGACCAAAAGAAATGTCATTATTACCTGTATAATGTCACTTGTATACTTAATCCTGAATTGTACCCCACATCTTTAAAATAAAATATTTTTTAAAATAGAAATGTTGTTATTGTAGAATTTAGATTCTAGATGCCACAGCCCACAGGATGCCACAGTTTTTAACTAATAACCAAACTCTTAAGTCCCAGGGTCTATTCTGGATATAGCTGAAGTTGCTTGAGATATATATGAAAACACTATCATACAAAATGTAACTACTAACTACAATAACCACAAAACATGGGAGGCATCTGTCACAGACCACCACCAATTCTAACTTGAACACTTTAAGCAAATAAGGTTTAAAATATCCTCACCTTGCCAATTAATTCAAGAATCTGATCCTGGAGTCAGTGGTTTCTACACATAGGAGATAGGATTTTTAAAGCTGATAATTCAGACAAAAATATTAGTGAAGATAGATATGATCAAAAGAATAATTTCTATCAGTCCCAATATAATCTCATTATCACCAGATCATAGACTCCAAATTGTTCTTTATTATTGCTAGTAAGCCTCAGTTTGTTATCATCTCACTAAAGAAAATTATTTGGAGTAGAAATATTTTTTAAGACCTGAACATGAAAATATTTTTAAAATATTTTAAAATATTTTTTAAAACCCCGTACATACTCCAGTAGTCTGAAATGGTAACCACTTCTTGCCTTGTAGTAATAATAAAGTAAGTGTCCCTTAAGTTTTCCATATCCTTATGTTTGTCCGTTTTTTTCGATCTTGGACTAAGTAAGGTAACTTGAATCTTCCCTACTTTTTTTTTTTTTTTTGAGTCAGGTTCTCACTCTGTGACCCAGACAAGTACAGTGGCATGATCATGGCTCACCACAACCTCAAACTCCTGGGCTCAAGCAATTCTCCCACCTCAGCATCCCAAGTAGCTAGGACTGCAGGCATGTGCCACTACACCCAGCTAATTTTTAATTTTTTTTGTAGAGACCAGGACTTACTATATTGCCCATGCTGGTCTTAAACACCTAGACTCAAGAAAACCCTCTCACCCCAGCCTACCAAAGTGCAGGGATTATAAGCATGAGTCACTGCACCTGGCAAATTTTCCTATGTTTAATGTGTTTTTTTCAACTTGTCTTTTATCTACTATAATTTATGTTTAATCAAACTTATGTAAATATTTGTGACTGTTGTATTTTTATTGTGAAAGTTAGCCTTCAGTATTGTAAAGAGCCCTTCTGTGTACTTTTGGTCTCAATTATAGTTGGTCTGATGCTAAGATCAGTGACTCCTGTTTTCTTTTTATTTGTATTTTGATTGGTATCTTTTTGTCCATTCTTTTATTTAATCATTTTTCTAAAGCATTTTTTTGTATATCTTTTATAATAATTCTGGCATTTAAAAAGTGTTAAAGATATTCCTTTATTTGCAGATATACACTAGAGACAGCAAATTTAACAAACATTTATTAGTTACAAAATATCTGAGGCCAAAACTGACTGACAGACTCTATTGGTCAAAAGGCCTAGTTTCTGCATGAGCAGTGGTTGGTGGTGGCCTGGGAGGCAAGGCATGTTGCTCTTGAAGCATTGTGTGGAAACCTCGACCTCACTGGAGCTGTAGTAATGTCTAGTAGAAGCTCAGAGGTCCAGGTGCAACTTGGGGATGACACAGGGGTTCAATCAGATTCTCAGCATCACCCAATGTTGGCCCAAATTATTGTGGAGACTAGAGACATACCATCGCAGAAACAAGCACTTCCTTGGCTGGGCTCGGTGGCTCAGCCTGTAATCCCAGCACTTTAGGAGGCTGAGGTGAGTGGATTGCCTGAGCCTGTGGGTTCGAGACCAGCCCAGGCAACTTGGCAGGAGCTCATCTCTACAATAAATTTAAAATTAGCCGGGCATGGTGGCGCATGCCTATAGTTCCGGCTACTTGGAAGCGTGAGGTGGAAGGATCACCTGAGCCCAGCAGGTCGATGCTGGGGTGGCTGGCTGTGAACCTGGGCGATGGAGAAAAAGAAAGAAAGAAAGACAGAAAGAAAGAAAGAAAGACAGAAAGAAAGAAAGAAAGAAAGAAAGAAAGAAAGAAAGAAAGAAAGAAAGAAAGAAAGAAAGACAGAAAGAAAGAAAGAAAGAAAGAAAGAAAGAAAGAAAGAAAGAAAGAAAGAAAGAAAGAAAGAAAGAAAGAAAGAAAGAAGCACTTTCCATGGAATCTAGGCCATGGTAAAGGCCAAAGGCACATCAGTGATCAAGAGTGAGACGAGAGGTCCTGAGAGGAACCACAGTATCCTATGACAGCCTATGGGGTGGGTAGGTCCATTTCTGTGACCATTGGGAGCCCTGATTGTCATAGTAGAAGACAGCATCTGACAACCTTGGAAATGTGTCAGTTCTTGGAGGTAAAGAATCTTCACTGGGGACAAGCCTAAGAGAAGATTGTGTTCACCTGGGGCCTTCTGTGATTCCTGGGGCTGAGATCAGTCACAATCACATTTGGCAATATATTCAATAGCCCTGACTTGAGTATTAAGACCATTCATTGGAGGCAAATATCTCCAAATTCAGAGGTGCAGCTCCATCTAGGTTTAGCCTCAGGGGGTCACAGTCACAGTTTCTTTCTTTCTTTCTTTCTTTCTTTCTTTCTTTCTTTCTTTCTTTCTTTCTTTCTTTCTTTCTTTCAGTCAGAGCACAAAGAGGTCTGGCCACTTCAGCTTCATATGGCATCATAGAAGCATAGGAATGGTCCATCCTTACATACTGGGCCAGGTTCCCTGGGTCAGTGTACTCCCAAGCAGCAACCCTGGAGAATTTTTTCAAAGGCACAGTGACTTTGGAAGGAATCAGGGGATCAATGTCAGGGAGATTTAGTGTAATTCTCTCCAGGGATAGCAGGCATGGCCCAGGGTGCATCGGATTGTCAGGATCCAATGGGGGCCCCAAGAATTGAAGATCAGGGGGACAGCAGCAGCCAGAAGCCTTGGGAGGATGCTGGAGCCCAGGGCTCAGAGGACAAGGCTTGTCTAATGTTCCATCCACAGGCAGAGACTGGGGCTTAGAGCCCATGGCTGTCCTCCCAGTCCCCACCAAAAGGCATCTCTTGGTTGCAGCCCAGACATTTGTCTCCTGAGTCCCCAGTTTTCGAGGATGACGACCATGACCACGGCCACCAACACGGCCACAACCATGTTTGCCAGTGGAGGGGAGAGGAACCCGGGCTGATGAACCCAGGGTCAGTGACTGTGTCAATCTGTAATCAGGAAAGCTATGGGTGGTAGCTACAGGCACAGTATCAGCATTGCAATTCTCCAGGAGATGATGGTGTCCTGGGAGCACCAAAGCTCTATGGTGGGTCCTACGGACAGCTGACACAGACTGCGGGGGACACCAGCCTGTGAGTGTGGGGAGACGCCTCAGGTCTAGCATTGCTCTCTGGAGAGTCTGAACTTCTCTCCAGGTGCTCAGTTCCTGACGGGCCAGTGCCCTGGCATCCCTGGGGTCCACAGTCGCCTGGTCCTGCCCACGTTTCCACAGCTCATACCGCTCAGGTTGCAGGATGCGCACAAACACATCCATGGAAAAGGTCACTCTGGCCTCCCCGCAGCTACACTGCGAGGCCACTTTGCCATAATCAATCCATCGTGCGGTCGCGAAATTGATGGCCTCCGCACAGTTGAAGCCATGGTTGAAACCAGCGTGGTAGCCATAGGGAAATGTCACCATGAACTCTCCGGCCTCCTGAGTCATGCAACTGAAGGGAATCCCATTCTTCTTGAGGACAGTGGGCGAGATGAGGGCCACCTTGTGCCTCAGGAAGGCCTCACAGCCCCGGGAAATGCCCGGGAAAAGCTCCCTGGCCAGGCGCTCCAGGCGCTGACCGTGTTCTGGGGGCACTGCATACCAAGTTTTGGGCTCCCCAAAGTGCAGGTAGTTGATGCTGTAAAGGTCCATGTCCTCCGTGTGCCAAGCAAAGGTGGTCTCCCACATGCCAAAGTACAGGTAGGGTGTGTTGACACCCTCGATGACAGTTCCACATTCCTGCTCCAGCAAGTCCAAAATTGTTCCTAGGTGTCCAAGGTTCCACTGTTTAGTGTTTTCATCAAATAAGGAACCATTGATGTCAGCTCCATAAATTGGTGAATCATAGGGGCGGTTCTTCCAGTATTTTCTCTCCAAATCTTCAAAATTCAGGTGTGATGGAGTCTGATATTTTTTACTGTTTGCCAAGCATCGATACTTCCCCACGGTCATGGTTTTTTTCTTTTTATGGTATTGAGTAAACACACCTGCCCGCCCATAGGCCACCTGTTGGAGGGGAGTGACTACTAAGATGTCATCGATATCATCATAAGTCTCTCTGGCTTTCCATTCCTTTGGTGGAATGACCTTGGCTAGGCCCGCTCGATGTGCACCTTGGGATTCCATGTAAGCAACATATTTGTTGAAATCTGTAAATTCTTCCATGGTTGGGCAAAAAGTCATGATTGTCCAACTTGGGTTCTGGGTGCTAGAGTGCTTATACTTCATGGTTACAATAGAATAAGCAGCAGATTCCCAAGTCCTTAGATGTGTCCTAGATACCTGAGAGGGCTAGGGAGTATTTTCTTCCCCTCTTTATTTTTAAAAATGCTTTGGTTTTTCTGTGAGGTAGTAACTCAGACTTGAACTTATAAACAAATTCAATACCTTTCCAGGCTTGCTGACTCACCAGGAGGACACCTCTCTAGGCAGCCTTTTTTGCCCAAAGGAAATAGAGTATTACCCAGTGGGGCAGGCACCCCAACTTGAGTCCCGGCTCTGCCTGGAGCTCTGTGAGATTCCTCAATTGAGGGTATCACTGTCTCTGAAGTCTCTCCTGATTCTTAGGCTTAGGTGCAAGAGTAGCTTCTAATTCCACTGTACCTGAAGATCTCTTCCAGGAAGTCAAAGCGTTAAATCTAACCCTTCCAAAAAATTAAAGAATATTTTAAAAGAAGCATATTACAAAAGAAACAGGGCAAATCATAAAACAGAAAAAAGGGGTCTTCTAATTAAACTAAAAAATAAACAAGTCTGATAATGAATGAATTGCATAGCACTCAACTCAAGAAACTGGGTGAATTAACATCAAGGAAAAATTAAAGAAAATAAATATACAAGCAGAAACAATTGCAAAGGAAAGCATAACATGCAATAAGGATGATGACACAGACTGATTTTTCAAAAAGATAGAAGTAAAAAAAACCACAGGCAGGAAGAGAAAAGAAAGTACAAATAAATCACATTATGATAAAATAAGGAACATAGCTAAAAACCCAGTTGAGATATTTTTAAATTATAACTGAAACTTATAAACAATGGGTGCTAGTTATTTTCTCCAAAGCACAAATATCCAAAAGTGTTCCAACAGAGAAATAAAATTATCTACCTTCCAGCAGAAACTCCCAATTCCAGATGAAAATACTCTAGGTCCTGGAGAGCAGGTTTCCTCTTGGTAGCTAAGCCCCAAATGAAGACCCAGGTTCCAGTGATCCTGGCTTTATACTTGAACAACATCCTAATCAAATCAGTACCCAGTTAATGTAATCACAGGGCTAAGTTCCTAGTTTGATCTTCCACTCCACCCATGCCCCTCTCTTTTATTTTAAATTTTAAACCAATCTTAAAACAGCTAAAGTGGTTGAAAAAAATCAAGTCATAAAAAAAGGAAATATCCTGACAAATATTAAACAAAAGAAACCTAAGGCAGCAATATTAATAACAAATATATTTATAGGGTCAAAGAAGCCCATTTTATAGTTATTGAAAAGAAAATTTCACTAGGAAAATACTACAGTGATAAACTTTATGCACCTAACCATATAACACTGGCACATAGAAAACCAAGACTAAGAGTTGTCATATGGTACAGCTCTAATATCAGTAGTCATGATGAGTTTTGTTTTGTTTTGTTTTTAACACCATTTTCTCAAGAAACTAATAGAACAGAAAAGAAAATTAATAATGCTATAATGATTTGTACAACAAACTTAAGAACTTTGATCACAGAAATTGCAACAACCAAAAAGTAAACGGAAATGCTTTTCAGCACATAGAAAACATTCACAAAAATGTGCCAATACAGGACTACAAAATAAATAAGAATTAAAATTCCATAGACTCATTATTTTGAGCACAATCTTGACCACAATTAAATAAAATTGAAAGACAGAAGCCGGGCTCGGTGGCTCAGCCTGTAATCCCGCACCCTTGGGAGGCTGAGGTGAGTGGATTGCCTGAGCCCGCGGATTCGAGACCCGCCCGGGCAACTTGCCGAGACCTCATCTCTACAATAAATCAAAAAATCAGCCGGCCGTGGTAGCGCGTGCCTGTAGTTCCAGCTACTCCGAAGGCTGAGACAGAAGGATCGCCGGAGCCCAGCAGGTCAAGGCTGCGGTGGCCGGGAGCAGCCACTGCACTCCAGTCTGGGCGACAGAGTGAGACTCCAACTCAAAAAAAAAAAAAGAAAATCGATTAAAAAAAAAAAAAAAAAACCATCTCCTAGTTTATCCAGCTCGTCCTTCTGGCCTTGAAGATACCCTCTTTCTTATAGTGAGGCGTGCCTGTAGCACTGTGTGGTCCGCCTGTCCCCACAGAGGAGGGCTCGTGTCTCCTCTCCCTGACTCTGCCTTTGTTACTCCTTTGTGTGTGTGTGTGTTTTTTTAAATAAAATATTGATTTGGCCAGTTTAAAAAAAAAAACTGAAAGACAACAATTAAAAAACTGAATCAACCTTATTTCAAAATTAATATCCACATTTCTAAAAACCTGTTGATCTTTGTATTGAACTCATGCAGTTAGTAGAAACAAAAAATTATATGAAAAAATGAAAAATAAAATGATAAAAAAGGAAAATATATACAAAAATAAAGATGATTAATAAAGCTGAAATCTAACACTTTTAAGGAAAAAATAAAGAATGGGCAATATTGGTTTCTTTTTAAGCAACGTTTCTAGACCTGGGCAAGAAATGTATAAATAGGTCTAGAGTATCCTGTAGGACTGGAAAATAAGGACATGGGAGCTACAAACAAACAAAAAATTAATGGAGTTATTTCAAAGGAGCATGGGGACCAAGGAAAATAGCTCCCAATGACCAAATCTCAAACAATTTGAGCAATAGGAATAAATTGGTATTGGACTATAATCCAAAGTATAAAATAAATATCTATGAGTTCATACTGTTATAAATAAATAAATGATTAAATAAATTAACAAATTAAGGAGAAAAACTTTCCTACGGAAGAATTCTAAATGAATTAAATTTAAATGTTGCCCATTTTTAAAAGATTATGTAACCTTTTATAACTAGAATTGTGCTTTACATATCTTGATTTTTGTGTGTCATTTTCCTCATCTATGTTGTTCTGTGTAGTTATATTTATTCTGCTTCCTTGCTGTAAGGTAGTCAATGGCATAAATGTTTCTTCTGTTGATGAGCATTGGATTTTCCACTTTTGGCCTCTTATAATGTTCTCTGAACATGCCTGGACATGTATGCTGGAGCTCATGTGTATTCATATCGGTGAATGGATCTTTTGGTCATAGGATACAGTCAGTACTCTGTATCCCCTGGGTTCACCATCAGTGGATTCAACCAACCATGGGTCAAAAATATTCAGGGAAAAAAAGTACAACCAAAAAGATTTTAATACAATAAACAACCATTTACATAGTATTTGCATTGTATTATAAGTAATCTAGAGATGACTTAAAGTATATGGGAGTATATACATAGGTTATATGCAGATAATATGCCATTTTATATGACAGTGACTAAATAGAAACATAGGAGTGCTGGCCATTGCCTCACTAAACTATGATGTGGCCATGTGCCCTTTGAGCTATGACCAGGCCATGTTTTCTTAAGCTTTGGCCCCCTTCCCTACCTTGGGGAACTAAATCTTCTCTCTCTCTCTCTCTCTCTCTCTCTCTCTCTCTCTCTCTCTCATTTACTTTTAAATAAACTATAGTTTCTAATCTGAAAAAAAGAAACATAGGAATACTATAAGAGCAATATTTTCTGAAAATGATGTGTGTGTTTATGTTTCTTGTCTTTCACAACCCAGAACCTTTTACCCTAGGCTTCCAAGGGCATCAGTCTGCCTGGGAACAGACGGCGATGTTGCTGAAGGCTAACAGGCAGAAATTCACCTTCTAACTTTCAGAATTGGAATGTGAGCCAGGCTACCATCTTCATTTCAGAATTTCTTCATTCCCCTGAACTGTCATATCCACAATCTAATACTACCAACTAATGTTAATAATTGCCAACTCTCACCTGGTATAAGAACAAGAATGTCTCATCTTCAGCTGGAATGGGTGGAAAGCAGTCATCCAGATGTTACTTTGATGGAGTTGACCAAAGGAACTAATAACTTATCAAACAGACTTTCAGCAAAGCCTCTGTATATGCTTCACTTTCACTCCCAACTCCAAAGACCACCAGAGTCACAAAATCTTGACCTCTCTTGGTTCTGCACTGTGGATAGGGCTGCTCTCTAGCATTTCTCCCCGCCTACATAGGACTCAGCTTTCTGGGGTTTATTCATATGGTTCTCACTTTTCCAGGTACCCTTTTCTTGTGTCCTATCCAGTTCTCTTCTGTATAAATACATGCAATAAAACATGCAGATCTTTGGTCTTCACTTCAGAGAGTTTTGTTTTTGTCTTTGTTTTGTTTTTTTTTTTTGGGTTGGAGTCTCACTCTGTCACCCAGACTGGAGTGCAGTGGCCACTCCCAGTCACCGCAGCCTCGACCTGCTGGGCTCCGGTGATCCTTCTGCCTCAGCCTTCCAAGTAGCTGGAACTACAGGCGCATGCTACCATGCCCAGCTAGTTTTTGATTTATTGTAGAGATGAGGTCTTGCCCAGTTGCCCAGGCGGGTCTCAAACCCTCAGGCTCAGGCAATCCAATCACCTCAGCCACCCAAAGGTGTGGGATTACAGGCTGAGCCACCCAGCCCGGCTCACTTCAGAGAGTTTTAACAATTGTATACACCTGTGTAATATGAGATGAGATATAGGATATTGCCACGGCCCCACACCTGGAACTTTCCAGTCAATTCCCACTCGCCACTGGAGGCAACCACTTTCTAAGTTCTATGATGACAGCTTAGTTTGACCTATTTTTGGAATGAATATAAATGGAATCAGACAGTATGTTCTTACCTAGATCTGGCTTCATTTCCCCAAACTGATGTTTGTGAGATGCATCTCTCTCTGCATGTACCAGAAGTTCATTCCTTTTTATTGCTAAATAATATTTTAATAAACTACATTTTTTTCTACTTGTCTGTTTAGAGACATGTAGATTGTTGCCAGTTCTTGATGATTATGAATTAGGTAAATACACAGGAGGAGAATTCTAAGGATAGATGTATCCTTACATTTGTAAGACACTGAAAACAGGGTTTTTTGTTGTTGTTGTTGTTGTTTTTGAGTTGGAGTCTCACTCCTTTGCCCAGGCTGGAGTGCAGTGGCACACTCACAGTCACCCCAGCGTTGACCTG